CTGCTTTAGGCTTTATTCTGGAACACCAGGATTACAGAAGAAGATTACGCACTCTCGACAAAGCCTTGCAATACTTGCAGATATCGCACAGGTAGAAATAATAGCTCATAGCATCGAAGGAGATTAGTACTTAACTCAAATGTTATCTCAGCGCTATTATTGTTGGCCTATGAGTAAGCAAGCTTCTGCTCCACTGTCCTTTCAACCTAAACTAATAATTTTTGACATTACAAACCGTTTTTGCGTAGCAACACTATTTTTATATTGGTCAACACAAAAGTTCTTATAAGGCGCTGCGAAGCAAGCCAGGCATTTGCTAGTGTTGAAATATGAATGAAGATGACAGCATAATAAGAATTTTCTTATCCAATCTATTTAGTTGCCAGAGGCCAGTGTTTATTATCCTTACAATTCATTTCAACGACAAAGAAAAGGTGTTATACATATTTGTGCGTAGCTCAAGGTAAATACATAATTACATAAACAGATAAAATTTACCTTCAACAGACTGTCGACATCAGTCCTTAAGAGTATATAATAAGTGTTTGTGTGCCTCTCGCTGTATAAAGAAAAATTTATGGAAATGGCGTGTTTACTTCAGCAGCTAAATTTCCCAAGTGTCTTGAATAAATCTAATCTTCAATTTTTAGCAATGTTATTGCGCTTTGTACCACGAATTGTTTGTTATAAAAAATTAAAAAAAAAAACAACAAAGTGTAAGCGGTGGAAGTTCTAGCAGCTATTTCGGAGATCACCGCATCTCCTAATCGTACGCCAGGTACGAGTACCTCAATGTTCGATATGGCGTATAAGTAACATTATTTCCTGTTGCTATTTCATACAAAAATTATTACATATTTTCATTTTTTGTTATTTTTTTGTCTGTTTTTATCCGTCCAAAAACAGGCTTTAATACAAATAAAAAAAATACAAACAAATTTTTATTTTTTTTCCTGTTAAATTAGTTTTTTTCTTTTTTCATAATTATTAAAATCTCTTGGATGCTATGTACTTCAATATTTTGTATGTCACTAAAATATCGCAAGAGCAAATACTGAGGCGGCCGCTGTGGTGTAGTGGTTAGAAGTGGAGTCCAGTTTCCGACATCTAAAACAAAAAAGCAAAAAAAAGTTTGGTTCTAATAGCGGCTTACCTCCAAAACTAACATATTGTGGAAGTGCCAATCTATTACACTGTAGGAAAATTCTCAAGTTTTGAAATGACAAAAAAAGAAAATGCCGATCCACGTAGACTTAATTTTGGGTCGTGGATTATGGATCTGCATACCGTTTTTCCAGATCATAAAAAAATTCAATACTTTAACAAGGATAAACCTAAAAAAATAACACATTATTTGTAATTTTTCCATTTGTTACTTTGTCAAGAATCAAGCTGCCAACGATGAAAATCGATGGATAAATAAACAACTCTTAATTTTTTAACAATTTTTGGTATAAGGAAATAATGTTACTCATACGCCATATCGTACATTTCCGTACTCGCACATACTCTCTTCGATCTTCATTTTATCACAGGATAAGTTATAAACTTTTCTTAATTGGAGGTTTATCTTCCAAATGATACCAAAAATTGTGCATTCCAAGCCACTAGATTTTGGCATTTTTGGCCAGGTTCGTTTTGGTATCTCTAGGGTTGCACGAAATCCCAGAGCTTGGTTAGCCATTGTGACTTTTTTGGTGTGATTAGTGTTTTAACTGCAGCCATCGCAACCGGAGGCTTGCCTTTATGTGCCGAGTTACGTATACTTCTTGACTGCAATGCTATATAGGGTACAGCCATTGAAGTGGCACCTCCTAGGTTGAAGTAGGTCCACTTGAGGGAAAAGGCCCAGTTGAACCATATTTTAGTTCGTGCCGATAAATGTTGTTTGTTAGCCACGTCACTATCACATCCTGGTGCCATATTCATCAACTTTTAAATCGGCATGCGTAGTACGTAGACGTTAAACCAAACTCTGTGCCTACTTTGGTCTGTTGGTTTAAACAATATGGGAATACATACATACGTGCATATGTATAAACAAAGGTATTGTAAGGAAAACAATAAAAGTTTACACACAGCAAACTGTATTTATTGCTGAGCTCAGTAGAAGCAGTGCAGTAAATTCCATTCTGCCTCCATTCAATATGCTTCATAACGCTGGATGCGCTCATAACGCTGCGGTCTATTATTAATTTTACAATTGCATTTTATGGCGCTCTTCAGATTGCAATAAGCGAAATTGAAATTATAATTTGAAAAAGAACAGTGAGCGCGTAGTACAAATGAAGCGAATGGTGAAACAACTGAATGGCGTAGAAGTTGAAGAATTATTGCAAAAAAAAGCAAACCAAATACATAAATTAAGGTAAAAATCCCAATAAAAAAAATTATAGGAATTTTCACATTAAATATAGGCTATTGCCGTTGTAGCTGCAGTTATTCCTCCAGGAAATTGTTATTCTGTGTATGGCTCACAAGGATTTTCATGCCGGTATGAGAAGTAAGTAAAAGAGTAAAGAAAATTTTATATGTTCCTCCGCTTCGAAGAGCGATGTCCGCGTTTGGGTAAATGGACCCAACAAACTGATAGCACTCCTCCGGTCCTCATTCTGTATTCATTTTACTGGCTTTATGGCTTTTAAGGGTTAAGTGTCGCTCTATTGAGATTTTAATTTGGGTCGTGCGTGTCATATTATAATCGGTGTATTTTTTTGCCATATTTGCCGCCCCTAATATTTGGTCGCATGTCTCTTTGCTACTCGTCCCAAAGTCATTCGAACTAATCGCATTTTTTGCAGGGTTCATATCTATACGAAAAACGATGTGCGTTTACACGGACGAAGCTAAACAAAACATATACATATGTATGTATGTATTTACCACAAAACCGGTTGAGCATTGGCCTGTCGCCAACCAAACTTTTTTCAGTGACATGACCACCAATTTTCCACCATCGTTTCCATTAAGTTAAATTGATTGTACCGAAATGTGTTTTATACAATTTATTATAAATTCCATTCGATTACAATTACTATACTATTTTTTTTTTACATAAAAATGCACAAATATATGTTTATCTTAGGCGTGGATCGTAGTTACATAGTTGCTTCGTCGTGCGCTAAAGTACTCATGCTACACAATCAAATCAATTATTAGTATTTTAATTAAGCTAATTCTAATGCTCCTTTTTTTCAATTTACTTACACACATATTTTACGATTCATTTTATAACCGCTGAATTTCTAATTCCTAGCCTTAACAATATATCACCTACAAATTATTCATTTTTACAGCCTACAATTAGTATTAGTTCCACGAATAAACACAAGATTTCTAAATTTAAATTTATATATAAAATTGCTTATTGCACATTTTATTTTGGCAAACCTTAAATTTCACCTATTCTCTTTGAAATATGTATTTAATTTACATACGTATCTATATATATATA